TCTTTATAAAAATTTGTTCCATTACATTTCCATTTGTTCTTTATTCAAATGAAATACTTTTAAAGTCAAATGCAAATTAAAACCTTAGGTTAATGATCATACATTAACATGGTCAGATATAGTCTTTGGAAAATCTGGGACTTCCCATTACCCATATTACTTTTATTCACAAATCAGAATCTCTGTCACTGGAAATTACAAAACAAAAAGTGATCTGAAATAAAACTGATTATAAAGCAAAGATAATCATAAATGTATACATCTTTCCCTTACACATTTCAACTATCATAGATTAATTATCATTTTAAGAATAAATATAGTGCAATATTTGTCTTTGCTCAGTTTTCTTAACTAAATAAATGTATATCTATAATATGTACACTTACAAATGTACTTCTAGTTTTGTAATTTAAAATTTACATAAATTTATACTTTTGCCAAAGCTTACTGGAAGTAGGAAGACTAATGTATAATTAGGGGAATAAACCGAAGAATTTTAGTCTGTGAATTATCCAGAGGGGAAGAGAGGAGGGGAAGGAAGGAATGAAATATGGAGACAGTAGTAAAAGAGGAGAAAGGAGAGAAGAGAGAGAGAAAGCACTAAACTGGATATTTGATTATTTAAGGCCATTCTCATAAACAAAATATTTTCCCTCAATTACACCTAATTGTTTAATTGTTTACGCTTACTAATGAAACGAAACAACACAAAGTAAACAACTACAAGGGACTGTTTTTCAGCAAGTGCATAATCATCAATCAACATGAACTCAAGGATTCTTAAAATTATATGAAGCCGGCCTGTTTAAATAGAAAGGCATATTTTATCCCAATCAATTGCATAAAAGTAAAATTATCCACAACCCAGGCGTGTGTGTCTGCTGTACAGCGCAGCTGTAATGATCCACACACACCGCCTTAGCACGTCAATTATGGTAATCATAATCACGGTCGTTAAGCCGAGTGTTCATTATTATCAGGATGCTGGTGACAGCAGATTCAATCACGGGTGCATTGGGCAAGCAGGCACAGTCCCACCCAAGTTTCTGCAGAAGGCGATGTGCCACATTAAATCTAGGATGTGTTCCACGTCCCACTCCATTCCAAATGCCGTAGACAGTAAAGGTCAACTTTATGTTCTGTGCAATATGCTTAGGTTCTCTAAATTAATTCTTTGGAGTGTTGAATATTTTTTATGCTTTGGAGCTTATAAGATCCTGTTTAGGACCAAAATACATGTGAAAATAACAGACAAGGACTGCACTACTGTTATAATTCACCCATAACAGGGACAGAGGAAGAAAGGATATATCAATATGAACCATTAACATCATCTCTTCCTGGATTTGCAAACAAGGAAAACCATGGAATGGTTCCATTAAAATCAGCTGTCTAAAATGCATATAGAAACTCACTCTCATTCAGGTAAAGGCTGAAGACTATCATTTCTGATTCAGTTCATATGCACATATGTGAATGTTGTCATAACCAAAAGGATGTGTTTATTTATGTTTTATTAATTTTTTATTGTCCAACTTTTTAAAAACTACCCAAACAGACTGAGCAGATACTCTCTGATCAGAAGATCCCATATTTAATTTCCCATCTACTTTGAGTACTTGAGAATATTGAAAGGGGTGACATTGATCAAGATATATTGCATCCCGAAACTACTTTGTTAAATGGAAACTCCTTTGTACAACTAGTTAAACAAAACAAGAAAAATTTAAAAAGAAAAGAATTTAGAAATGCAAATGATTTATCTCAATTTAAAAGTCTGGTCATTTACAATACAGAGTGGGAACCTAACATTTAATTTGGGGTAGTTTATAAGCACATCAAAGAATTGAGGGTGATTTATATTATATCTGTATCATTTTGTTTTTATTTTTAAAGAAATATGATATAAATACAAATTTTCATTCTTGATTTCAATCTTTCAAAAGCACATAGTACTATTTATATTTTCTGACTCTGACTACTTGCCCTGGGGCCTTCAAATCAGTAACATTAAATATAAATAAAATTAAATAATATTTCATGTATTAATTTATTTAAATGTGATTAGAGAAAGAATATTTAGTATTTGAGTTTCTGTCCACTGATAAACTTGTTTTTCTGTCAGTTGTGAGGCTTGAAGTGCTGTCTCTGAGCCTCTTTGGGCTCAAGGCTAATGCTCTACTACTTGAGCCAAAGCACCACTTCTGGTTTTTGAGTGGTTAACTGGAGCTAAGAGTCTCACAGGGATTTTCCTGCCCAGGCTGGCTTCAAATTGTGATCCTCAGATCTCAGCCTCCTGAGTATCTATGATTGTAGCCACGAGCCACTGGTGCCCAGCTACTGATATCCTTTAACAAAACTTTAATAAATGTTTCAATAACATCTACATTTAAAAATGATTAAAGGAGACAGCAATTTTCCACTTGTGGATAATCTTAAAACTGGGAAAGGTAGTTTACTCTTATAGTACCAGCACTTGGAAGCCTGAGTCATAGCAAGTTCTAGGTCAGTCTTGGATACACAGTGAATTCTAGCCCAGTCTGATCTGTGAGACCTTGCCGCAAAACAAAACAAAACAAAACAAAATCATGACAGAAAGTTTGAAGAACAGGAGCCAAATGCACTTAAGGATGTTTCTTGTCTGAATTAAGGTACTCTTTTCAACTAAATGTATAGTACACATGTACACTCCATCTTCCCATAGAAACAGCATGACATTTCTGCCTTTTCTCTTGTCAATCTTTTCTGCTTTCAGTACTTTCAACCTAACAACTCTGTTCTGAAGATGGCCTTTAATCTACTAATAATGAATAAGATGTGGCCACTGATTTCCAAGATCAAAAAGCAAAGTTTTATAAAAGTAGAGAAGACCATGTTTCAAAAATAAATAAGCAGGAGTGGGGAAGGGGAGAAGAGATAGTAAGAGAAGGGAAGATTTTTTTTTCTGAACTTGCTATGGAATTGGATGAATTCCCTATGTATTTCAACATTCACCCTAATTAAGAAGTACAATAGTTTTAAACTATATTCTTCAATTCCATTTGATGTATCAACTCTATTGACTGTTTCCTGTATTGTATAGAAGCATTTGTTTGATGAAATCTTAATTGTGTAATTTTGGATTCCTTCCAAATTTGTTTTTGGTCATAGCCAATATATATATATATCTTTTTTTGGTGGGGGGGGGGGTTCCGGTCGTGGGGCCTGAACTCTGGGGCCTGGGCACTGTCCCTCAGCTCTTCAGCTCAAGGCTAGCGCTCTACCACTTGAGCCACAGCACCACTTCTGGCTTTTTTCTTTTTGCTTATGTGGTGCTGAGGAATGGAACCCAGGGCCTCGGTCATGCAAGGCAAACACTCTACCACTGAGCCACCTTCCCAACCCCCAATATGTATCTTATTGCCCAGGCCAATATCAAGAACTTTTTTCCATGTTTTCTTCTAGTAGTTTTAGCATTGTAGGGCTAATGTTTAAGTCTTTTATCTTTTTATTTAGGTGATTATTGTATATGATAAAAGATAAGGCTTCTACTTTACTTTTCTGCATGCAGATGTCCAATTAATCCCAGCAGTTTTCATTCAAGAGACTGTCATATGTCATATCCCGTTGTGTGTACATCCATCATTGTTAAAGGTCAAACGAGAACAAATAGGTGGGTTTATTTCTGAAGTCTCCACTCTGTTCTACTGGTAATTATGTCTGTTTTTATGACAGCCTCACATAATTTTGATTACTATGACTTTGCACTCTATTTTGAAACCAGGTAATGAGATACTTCTCATATTTAGTGTTCAATATCATTTTGCTATTCATAGTCTTTCGTGGTTTCCTAAGAATGTTAGAGTTGGTTCTGTGGCAAAAATAACATGGGAATTTTGATAGGGATTATATTGAATTTGCAGATTGCTTTTAGTAGTGAGGATATATTAATTTTTATAGTCCATGGGTATAGGATATCTTTTAGTATATTTTATCCAGTTACTTTCATAAATATTTAAAGTTTTCAGTTATAGCTATTTCATCTCAATTAAATTTAATAAAGTTTTATTTTTAATGTTACTATAAACTGGAAACTGTATGAGTTTCTTTTGTAAACTTTATTGTGAATAGAACTGCTACTAATAGTTCTACATAAGTTTTACATCCACAATTTTACTATACATGTTTATTATTTCTAACAATGTGCAATGGAGTTTTTAGGACTTTTATACTTAGATCATACCATCTGCAGACAATTTTATTTGTTCTTTTCCAATTTGGATATTGCTTTGTCTCTCTCTCCCTTCTTACCTTCCTTTCTTTCCCTCCCTTCCTTCCTTCCTGCCTTCTCTATCTCTTTCTCTTTTTCTTTCATCTCCTTGCTTTTACCCAAAATGCTATATTAAATAGTAATTTCAGAATGGGCATCCTTGGCATAGCCCTATGATTTAGATGATATTTAATTGCGACTTTAGACTTTACAGTGAATGTTACAATGATCCTCTTAGAACTGTTGTGATGGAAAGAATGTGCTTTATATACAAGATATAAGTTTTGTGGTCCAGAAATGTAATGTTATAGACTGAATTGTGTCTCCAAGGTGACTTCAAGGAAGATAAGGTGTATAAAAGTAATGATTAAGGGAGAAATAGATTATAAAGGTAGGGTCTTGATCTGATGAGATTAGTGCTTTTATAAGGAGAAGCATATGATCATGTCCCTTCCTCCCTCCTTTCCTTCAAAGAACAGGTCATGGGAACATATTGAGAGATGGCAGCTGTCTCCCCCCCCCCACCCCCATCTAGATGCATACACATAAATGGGAAACAAGCGATCAATTACTAATTTACTGATTTATTGATATAAATCAGTTGTACCAATTTAAATACATCAGCTATAAATATCTTGGAACCACAAGAGTCTTAATTACCACAAGAATATTTATATACATTTTCTAGTCAAAGTACATTTTTTAGCCCTTGAAAAGGAACACTATTTTTCTTAATGTTTTGTCCACTTACCTTATCAGATATCCATTTCTTAGGGTTCTCACTTCGAAACTGATGTTCATCTGGAGAATCAGGATGATACTTGCTTGATGAATGTATTAATGGTATATATTTTTCTTTTTTATGGTAGCAGGAAAATGGCAAAAACCTGAAAGAAGATTGACATTATATTCTTATATTCTTTGTAAAAACATTTCATGTACTAAATAAGATTACAACAGGGAGAATACTATAGAAAAAAGAACACATGGTCTGGAATCAGAATAGCTAGATTCTATTTTAACCCCTGCCACTATTGGTTTCACTGGTTTCTGTAAATCTTCATTTCATGTCTTCAAATGTGGTACTACTGGGCTGGGATGTAGCTCAGTGGCAAAGCGCTTGCCTAGCAAGCGCAACGTCCTGGGTTCGATCCCCAGTACCAAAAAAGAAAAGACAAAAAAAATACAGTTAAAAAAACCCCAAGCAAATGTGGTACTACTAAGCTTTTCCTAATGGAATTTTTATAAGTACAGACAATGCAAATGCTGAATCTATGAATTAAACTGGCCAGATTATTCAAAATTCATCATGCAAGTAAAAACATTCCTAATTTTAGAATGGCATATGCCTCCTACTCTTGAAAAAATGGTCACGACAAAAAGTTCTCATCGAAATCATTTTGATTCAAATCTTAAATTGTCCGTAAATGGAGGCATTTTGGGTAGAGTTCATAAATCATAGAATTTTTGGGTCAATATGATCTGCTTTTACATCTTAGCATGATCTTTTTAGCCCTTTCCCATGACTTCTATGAATCTTTGCTTCTAAGCAGAGTTATTAATGGGAATGCAAATTGTAGTATATACAAAGCATTTAACATGGGCCCTAAAAAGAACAAGGGACAATAAATAATGAATGGTGTTAGAAGTAGAAACAAAAAGAGAAGTTATTTTTGTTGCATCAGTCATCACCATCATGATGATGCTTAATTTGAGGTATTTTTTAAAGTAACACAAAAGGCCAATTCTCAAAATCCATAACAACTTCCAACAAAACACATATCATTGTGATAGGCTTTATAGTAACCCCGCAATTTGTTGAAGTCCCTCGCTAGGACACACTGGAATAAGAACAAAAGCATTAAAATGTTAGAAACCACAAGAAAAAGAGGACAGAAGATGACAAAAACCAGGTGAAATTAGCAACACATTCTTATCATGTGGGAAGAAGATTTATATCAGGTAGAAGGGGGTTAAGTCCAGAGGTGGCTGATGCCCAAGAGAAATAAGGCAATTTGTTCTGTAGACCCCTGGAAAAGCTAGTGATATAAGCTACTGTTACCGTACAGGGTGAGAGTGAGGAATACAACTGAACACTGATTAGAAGTCTAGTTAAGGGGTAACCGCTCAGGTCTCCATCCCCATCCACGCGGTCAAACAGAGCCTTGGTGAAGCCAAGGTAAGGACCACATGGAGTAATTACATAAGTATATAATTTTATTTCTTGGTACCACTGAGTGAACTAGCAGGGAAATAAGCCCAAGGCTCAACATTTAGGGATTTTTTTTTTTTTTGGTCTGTTCATGGGGCCTGAACTCTGGCCTGGGCGCTGTCCCTCAGCTCTTCAACTTAAGGCTAGCGCTCTACCACTTGAGCCATGGCGCCACTTCCAGCTTATTTTTTTCTTTTTGCTTATGTGGTGCTGAGGAATCGAACCCAGAGCCTCAGGCATGCAAAGCAAGCGCTCTACCACTGAGCCACCTTCCCAGCCCTCAGGGATATTTTTATTAAAAGGTTTTTTTCATAGCACAGTGAAATCTATCATTCAAAAGAGCCACAATCACATCATGTTTGAAAGTATAAAGATTTAAATTGATCTTGTATGATATGCACTTAAAAAAGCTTATTGCTGGGGCTGGGAAGGTGGCTCAGTGGTAGAGTGCTTGACTTGCATGCATGAGGCCCTGGGTTCAATTCTTTAGCACCACATAAGCAGACAAAAGCCAGAAGTGGTGCTGCAGCTCAAGTGATAGAGCGCTAGCCTTGAGCTGAAGAGCTGAGGGACAGCGCCCAGGCCTAGATTTCAGGCCCCACGACTGACACAAAAACAATCAACAACAACAACAAAAAAAAAAAACAAAGAAACCACATTACTCAGTGAAAAACAACATGAAAGAAAGTTACAAATGTAAACATAAAAGAAAACCCATTCAGGCACCGGTATTGTGGTAGTAGCTCTCAGTTGAAATTCTAGCTACTCAGGAAGCTGAGACCTGAAGATCATGGTTCAAAACCATTTCAGGAAGACTAATCCAAGAAATTCTTATATCCAATTAACCAGCAAAAAGTTGGAAGTAAGAGGTGTGGTTCAAGTGGTAGAGTACCAGACTTGAGCAAAAATGCTAAGCAAGAGCATAAGGTCCTGGGTTCAAACTCCAGTACTGGCACACAGCAGAAAACTATATATTTTGAAATTCAGACTTTGAAAAAGTATACTTGAAGTACAACAAATACCTATGTAACCATCACCATTATCATATGCCTAAATTTTCCACATCTCATTCCATTAAGATAAGGAAATATTTTAGAATCCAAATTTGTTTTGCATTACATATATTTGCTTAAAAACAATAAATAGGAAAAATAGCTCTGTTTAATCAATTTATATACCACTGCAATTTACTTTTAGCCTTTATTAATAAACTCAATATTATTAGTAAATACTTTCTAAAAGTACTTCAAATAAAGCAGAACATACAGCTTTGAAGTTACAAAGCCATAGGAGCTTCTGTTACTTCTGCTCTCAGGCAAGAATTTTTCTTAGAAGATAGACAATAAGACAGGCTTATTGTCTCTCCATGCTAATCTGCACATGGACAGACACTGGGCATTGAAGGAATTTCTGTGGCCCATTGTCCAGAAAATACAAAAGAGGTGTATTAGCTTCAGCATTTACAGTTTTTATTTTTTAATCACTTCTAAATAATTTTTGAGAGTATGGTTTTTGTGTGTCTACACAAAATTTCCTTTCTCAAGAGACTACTGATGAGAAGGGTGAAAGACTAGGTAGTAATTCTAAGTATTAAGTCTATGAATTAATCCTACTTTCATTTAGACGTAATTTTTCATGAAAGTATCATGAAGCAGTTTCAAGTATGCATAAACATGATTAGATATATGATATGCTAAAACATTTACATATCTTCTAAATAATCTTTAATAACATTCACTTGCAAAAATGAAAATTTAGTCCTTAAGTAGAATTTGATCAATAAAGTATAGTTAAGAAAACTGTAAAAACTACAAATTACTTTAGCTTATAATCAAAATTCTGGAGAATTATCAATTAATTTTAAAATAACATCTTTTATAAGATTATATATTATAAAATAATATAATAATATAATGAATATATATGAGAACACTTTAAAATTAACATGTTAAAGAAAAATATAGATTGGTTAAAGAAAAATATAGATTGGTTAAAGAAAAATATAGATTGGTTAATTATTTTTATACTCTTTCCAAAGATATAGCAAAATTTCCTAAAAACAATGTGAAAATATAGTGGTATACACAAACAAATCTGTGCAGTGACAAGAGACTTGGTAGCAGTCCCAGGAAACAAAACTTAAAAATAACCAATTAGCTACAGAACACACAGAATCATATTATGGACACTGAATATTTACATACAACAAAATGTTTCCAAATAAATCATATACCTTTGTTTCTCCCATGATTCTCTTTCATTTCCTCTTTTTCATACAGTTCTCCTACTGTCATTTATAATTCTAGGTTTTCCGTCAGCCCATTTATTTTACTGACAGATAATTCACATTTTCAAGTCATGAAGCTCTAGCTGGCAACCTATTGATTCAAACCTAAATTCTTCAACCTCCTGTCGTCCTTCTCAGAAGTCACTTCATCTGTTCAGTCTTCTACACTCTCTACTGCCTAAGTCACAATGCCATTCTTCTTTTGGCTTTTTCTGCCCATCCTACCACTTTGTGTGGGTGTAGGCATTTCATCCTGATATGCTGATTCAAGCTAGGCTCAGCTTCCTAAACCAGCTCAACAGCTAGCTCTTCTAGGCTGACCAGTCTACCCACTCCTGCCAACACTGGTGTTTCTGTTGTCTAAATTTTTATTTATTCATGAGACACCTAGTGAACTGCCTTTATGAATTAAGAATTAAGCACTTTGAAAGGCAGAGCTATCATGATGGAAGATGCATGGTAGAAGGAATTCACCACGTTAGAAACACAGGATGAGGATGAACACTACACACAAGTACAATGTGGTAGTTGTTGTGATGGATATATATGTGTGTGTGTGTGTGTGTGTGTGTGTGTGTGTGTGTGTGTGTGTGTGTGTGTGTGTGTGTGTGTTTGTGTATGTCATAGATACATATATCCATATATATCCATATATGAATATGGATATATGACATACACACACACACACATACACACACACACATATATATCACAGGAGAGGCCATCAATGCCCAAAGGAAGACTTCTGTTCCTTATGGTGGGGGTGGGGACAGAAAAGCATTTCCACAGACTTTGCATGGTAGAGCTGAGTATGGTAGTACAAGAGTAGTAGGAAAGGGGTACGGGATCAAGATGGGAACATTCCACCCATTGTTGACAATCAGGAACTTTATTTTTACTTTAATAGGTAACAGGATATGAGTCAAGGCTCAAGAACCTACTCAACTCTCATTCATCTCTCATCCCTAGGAGGCTCACTGTCTCTGTCAATAGGACTTCAGCCCCCTCCTCTCAGTGGATTCCCCTCTCCTCTGACATGCACAGTTCCTCCTGATTCTCCTTCTTGCTTTTGTAGTTTCTGTGTGACTCATCATTTTCTGCCAATAGCTTAATTAACCAGAACTGTGCATCAGAATCACCTGGGCAAATTTTCCAACAATATATGCCCACTGAGCCATACTATCTGTGATTGAGATTCTGGAATTCTTATGTATATAATTTCAAACCTCAAGGTGATATAGTTAAGTGACCCTGACTAAGAACTACTGCCCTAAACATTAAAGCAATTCCTGAAAGCCTGCATTTAATCTCTCTCGAATTTCTCCTTCTTCCACAAAGGTTATATAGTGATGGGTTGTAAATCTCTATCTTCATATACAAAACCTCTC